ACACGGACCACAGGCAGACCTTCAAAGGAAATATCCGGAAACTGGTTTTCACAGCCCCTGAAAACCTTCCTCCATGAAGGGCTATAGAAGGATCAAGAAAAAGGAGAGGGGGCTTTGGGAGGAAAGTTACGATTGTACCGCCCTCCCTGGGGCGGGCTATTAGCTCCTTATCATCACATCTTGCGAGAGAAGATCTACTCGGACACCTGCATCTGGGGACCTGCTGAGAAAGCTCCAGTGGCCTTAGCAGGGGGAAGAGGCAGAGAAAGAGAAAGTAGGGGCTGCATTTGAGAAAGACGTGCAGCCCACGGAGCGCAGGGTCCAGCCTGCGTGGGCCCAGGAGGGAGACGGCAGGCCGGGAGACATTCTAAATTCGATCCCACGGTTGGCCTGAGAGGTGAGGGGATGGATGAGGGAAACGTAGGAGGGAGGTTCTGTGTGGGGAGAGCAGCCCACAGCCCGAGGATGGCATCGGGAGCCTAAATGAGACAAAAACAAGCAGACAGACAGACCCAGGAAGGAGAGTCCCTTCAAATGTCTCGCCACGCACGTCCTTAGAGGGCCTGTTAAGAGCCTGCCATCCGCTGACCTCTGCTCCTTCCGGGCGCCCTGGGCTCAGGAGGTGCTGGGAAGCCCCACTTTGGGGTGACTATTACAACGTTGACACGCTGGATACTTGGCCCAGTTTCTGAAACAAGACTGTGTTTTGTGATCCGAACGTCCATCCGTGGAATGATCTCATACCTCGGAGGGAGCAGAGACTTTCTGGAACTCATGCGGGTTTTCACGTGAGGGCAGGAAAGAGCTTCCCCTGCGGAATCCATGTTGAAGGAGCCGCAGGGGACGAGAAGAGGGACAAGAACAGGGGAGCCGGTGGACCGGGGATTCGGTGGTTAATGGGAGCGGTGGGGACCAGCCCACTGTGCTGAGTTCCGCGGGGCGGGCCCCGTGGCAGCCCAGGCGTCTGGCAGGAGTGGGGACCAGCCCCAGCCGTGGGAGGGGTTCCTTCAACCCACTCTGCACCGTGGTGAAGGCCTGGCTTAAACATGCAACTTTTAATAAGATGACCCATTTCCAGACAGAGTTATCGCCCGAGTCAAAATTCCCTGGGACAGATCCCACTCCCATCCTGAGTCTGTGCGAGTCTTCTTGCCGCCCTTTTCCCGGACTCACAAAGGGTGAGAACTGAGCACACACCCTCCCTCGTCCCCCCTCCCCGAGAGGCCAACGGTGGGGGGTGGGGGGGGGGAAGAGGGCAATCTTCCCCACTAACCAAATGTCATCCTGTGACGTTTCAGAGGCAGAGTGAGACACAGCCCTCCTCGCAGGCAGACACCGGCTCCTGTTTGGGGAATCTGCCCCCCGAGACACGTGTCCAGCTCCTTAGGGAAAGAGTCATGATCAAAGGTATTATTAATAGGAAGCTGAATTAACGGGGACCGTCCTTAAACATTCTGCCAGGGTGGCGGCCGCAGAGATGTCTGCAGCACAGGCTGGAGTGTTTGCTTCGCTCCAGGCAGTGGGGTGTTTGCACAGTGTGTTTGTGTGTGTGTGTGTGTGTGTGGCTCTTCTGTGAGCTGCCACCTCGGCCACCCCGGGGCTGCAGCTGGTGTTGATGGCACAGAAGCGCTGAGTCACTGGCCGTTCAGCGGCCCTTACATCACGTTCCATTGTCCTTTCTTCCTTTCTAGGCTTTTAAGGGCTCTTTCTGTGTTTTTGTTTTGTTCTGTGTTTGCCCCAAGCTTATCCCCGCTTGGAAATCTGGGGTGTCAAAACTGAGAGGCACCCGGCTTGTGAACAAAGCCCCGGGCAGAGAGGGGCCGCGAGGCGGGAGCGGCAGGTGCCTCGGGTGGGCTCTCCCTGCTGCTCGGGTTTGAACTGGAGCTGATGAGTTTCACAGTCTCTTTTTATGTTGTTCTTCAGGCCCCGTTTTAGCACCAGCGTAACAGGTGGTGCTGATTATCGTGTGACATAAATTCTTGGAGAGCTAGCCTCTGCAGAGGGCCATGCAGATTTGTCTAAAGGACTGTTTTGACCCAACAAGCTTGTTGCTTTATTGGGAGAGAGAAAAAAAAAAAAAAAAGGTTTGGTTATAAAAATACGTATTTATTATGGGAAAGTTGGGGGCAGAAAAGCTTACGGGATAAAATAAAAAGGATCCAGAATCCATCACCGGAAAATGATCGCTGTTAACATTTTGATGGGTAATTTTCTAACATTTTCCCTACGTATCAATGGATATCCACATACATTTTACATAATTGGGCCCACATTGTACATTTTATGTAAACTGAAAAATATTATGGGGTGCCTGGGCGGTTCAGCCGGTTCGGTTCAGGTCATGATCTCGCAGTCTGTGGGTTCGAGCCCCGCATCGGGCTCTGTGCTGACAGCTCAGAGCCTGGAGCCTGCTTCAGATTCTGTGCCTCCCTCTCTCTCTCTGCTCCTCCCCTGCTCGTGCTCTGTCTCTGTCTCTGTCTCTCTCTCTCTCAAAAATAAATAAATAAACACTAGAAGAATTTTAAACTGAAAAGTATTCCACGAATATACTTTTAGCCATTAAACCATATTCTAGAAGGGCTACAAATTGGTCCAGTATAAGCAACAAGGGACGGTTAGATCTTTAACTTTTTCTTTTTTTAATGTTTACTTTATTATTTTTGAGAGACAGAGACTGAGCATAAGCGGGGAAGGGACAAAGAGCCAGAGGGAGACACAGAATCTGAAACAGGCTCCAGGCCCTGAGCTGTCAGCACAGAGCCCAACGCGGGGCTTGAACTCGGGAACGGTGAGAGCCAAAGTCAGACGTTTAACCGACTGAGCCCCCCAGGCGCCCCTCTTTAACTATTTTCTTTGCAGTCACTTCATTTCTAGTTCTGGGATCCTTTTCTTTCCAAGATAGCCTCACCTATAAATCTCCCCTCTGCAGCGTGGCTGAAGCATTTTCTTGGGTAACCATCTTCTCTCTCCTGCCTTCTGAGCAACCCCTAATGCGCATCTAGACGCGTCAGGGATTCTCAGCCGTGAGGGTCCGTCAGAATGAGCTGGAAGGCTCAGAAGAGGGTGCTTCAGCCCCAGAGTTTCAGACTCAGTAGGGCTGGCCGTGTGGGGGACAAGTTTCCCAGTCAGGCGGCCTATGCCTGTCCACCACAGAGACCACCGATGTGGGGGATGGATGGACAATTTCATTACTCCAACTCTCCTCCCAGCATTCTTGGTTCCTTGTGCGTTTCCCTTAGCGCCTTTATCTTGTGTCTAGAGCCCTTGCCTTTAACCACTACCTGTGCTGTCCCCTTGTGGTGTCACCTACGCATGCAGAGGACAGAAACAGTTCCTTTTCTTTTTTTTTTTAATTATTTTTTTGATGTTTATTTCCGTTGAGGGAGAGCTCGAGCTGGAGAGACCCCGCGGGGGGGGGCAGAGAGAGAGAATCCCAAGCAGGCTTCGTGCTGTCAGCGCAGAGCCCTATGCAGGGCTCGAAGCTGTGAACTGTGAGATCATGACCTGGACTGAAACCAAGAGTCGCGTGCTTAACCAACTGAGTCACTCAGGCGCCCCCACAAACAGTTTCTTTTTTTTTTTTTTTTTTTTTTAACATTTATTTATTTTTGGGACAGAGAGAGACAGAGCATGAACGGGGGAGGGGCAGAGAGAGAGGGAGACACAGAATCGGAAACAGGCTCCAGGATCTGAGCCATCAGCCCAGAGCCCGACGCGGGGCTCGAACTCACGGACCGCGAGATCGTGACCTGGCTGAAGTCGGACGCTTAACCGACTGTGCCACCCAGGCGCCCCTACAAACAGTTTCTTAATGGAGAATTGGAACCAAAGGGTTTGGCGAGCTGCCCCCCCCTCCCTGCCACCAGTACCCGAGAGTGGAAGCCGGAGTGATTTGTCCTTCGTCATCACCACATCACGTTCTCCTAAAAAGCTGGCTCAAAAGGAAATGCACAGATGCCCAGACTATTTGTTAGAGGAAATGACACTTCATCCTCTCCCAACATCTGGGAATTCCTCAAAGACAGTCAGTCCCCACAATAGTGCGGGCTCCCCAGAAGCCTGTGTCTTCTTTCCCGGGGGGGACGTGGGGGGCAACCAAAGAGAACAGAGTCTATTTTTGGTGTCAGCCCGAGGGGACGCCTGAGGAGGGGAACAGGTCACCAGCACCACTGTTCTGTTCTGCGAACCAGCTACACGCTTCCTTCCTGTCCAGCCCCGAGCAACAGTCTCTTAAGTTTTGAATCGCCCGTGGGGAGCTGAAAAGAATTAAAAACGCCACCGTGGGCCGGAGTGGCTAGACACAAGGGCAGATGGACCGACGATGTGGGGAGTCGAGATGTGGCAGGACTCTGGGCTGGGGGTGCAGCAAAGGAGGACAGAGCCGGGTGACACACGTGATGACTCAGAGGGACCCAGAGGCGTCTGGCTGTCCCTTGGCTGGGAAATGCCAGTAATTTTTTGGCCCTAAGGCATCTTCTGGGACAAAAAGCAACAGGCAGAAAGACTAGGATGGGCGTGAGCGGGACGTCTGACTTCCCCAGGTTAACTGATTTCACGCAGGTGAGGACAGGCAAAGCCTTGAACTCAACAGAGAGCCGACGGGCGGGTGTCTCGGGAGCGACGGACCCCTATTCAGCATCGAGATCTGGGAGCCACCTTTTTTTGTTTTTTAATGTTTTTATGTATTTTTGTGAGAGAGACAGAGTGTGAGCTGGGGAGGGGCAGAGAGAGGGAGACACAGAATCCGAAGCAGGCTCCGGGCCCCGAGCCGTCAGCACAGAGCCCGACGCGGGGCTCGAACTCACGAACCGCGAGATCGTGGCCCGAGCCGCAGTCGGACGCTCAACCGACTGGGCCACCCAGGCGCCCCGACCTTGGAGCAACCCTAAGTCGAGGTCTGAGAGAGGCAAATCCTGTTCTCATTAAACGAGCACAGGCCTGGGGGTGGGGGGCGGGTGGCCGAGGTGGGGGTGGGGTGGGGAGGCACCCCTGCCACCAGATCTAAGGGCGTTTGTTGGGCCAAGCCCTTGTTTCGTCCCAGCCAGGCCACTCAGGCGAAAGCATCCTGGGAATTCGGCATGCCAACACAAAGAGCATTTCCTTGTGTGGGTTTCCTGTTTAGGTCTGCGTAGAAACCCGGCGGATCGCGTGGCCTCGTAAATCCCCCAGACATTACTGATGTAGATGCTTTGGCCGGCTGCCCTGGGAAAATCGCACACAAATAGAAGAAGGGCAGGGGGAGCACATTCACTCTCGAATTCTGGTGGGTTCCGGGCTCCGTGTGTTTGGATCTGTAAACGCAGGGGGTTGGGCTCGCCACGATGATCATTTAAGGTCCTTTCCAGCTTGGACTTTCTCAGACTCCACTTCCCTCCGGAAGGCCGCCCGGAGCTCTCACTCACTGTCCGGCTCAGGGACGGGGGTCTGCGGAAACAGAAGCAGGGGGAAGATCTCCGGCTGAAAATCCGGAAGCTTCTCCAGCATATCCTAGGGGCTCCTTCACAGAAAGAAGGTACTTTTGAACCCTGGTAATTCCCAGACTTTCCTAAACACTTAGGTTTGTCCCCAAAAAGACAGACACCGAGCTCAGGAGCATCACGGGGGTCTCGCAGCTGGGTTTCTGGCACAAAGCAAGTTCACAGGGCAGACCCCAAGGTGGTACACAAAGTGCGTGTTAGGAGACATCACCCGCTTTTAAGCTTTTTGAAGCTTTTTTAAAACTTCTTGTTCTCCCCAGTTTCTGCATCTGTCCAATGGGCATTCAGACTCGTTGGCTTAATGGAAGAAGCCGTGTTTGCATTCCTCTTCTGAGGCCGAACCCCCAGATGCTCTGGCAGGTTCCACGTGGAGTCTGACCAGACAGGAGTACGGCTGGGAAAGGGACGGGGCAGGCACCGGATTTCTGCCCGAAGGTTCTCCTGTCCGCCGTGCTGTGCTCCAGTGAGGATGTCCTGCTTTTCTCGTACTTCTGTGTGTTTCTGTTTTCTCCTTTATCCTAGTGAGCGTTATTTAAAAAAAAAAAAAAAATTCTTTTTGGTCATATGGAACTGTCCTTTTTTTTTTTTTTTTAATTTTTTTTTTTCAACGTTTATTTATTTTTGGGACAGAGAGAGACAGAGCATGAACGGGGGAGGGGCAGAGAGAGAGGGAGACACAGAATCGGAAACAGGCTCCAGGCTCCGAGCCATCAGCCCAGAGCCCGACGCGGGGCTCGAACCCACGGACCGCGAGATCGTGACCTGGCTGAAGTCGGATGCTCAACCGACTGCGCCACCCAGGCGCCCCTGAACTGTCCTTTTTTAGGGGAGGGGGAAAGTACTAAAATGATACTGAGTAACAGGAAGTTAATCTCCTTAGTCTGGCAATGCAGGCTTCTAGTAAGTTAATTGGATTTTCTACCTAAACGTGGATAAAGTCATTTACGCAGCAACATTTCTCCAGATGAGATCGCTCGCTTAGAAGGCAGCGTGGCTCTGGTCTTCGGGCTCTCGGGCATGAATTGTGACGCTTGTCTGTAAACCTCGTTCCCTTGGACACGTCCTTACAGGTAAATAAATCAGCAAAGGAACCATTAGTTCCTAGGCCCCATCCTGCTATTTATTTTCCAAATTCCGCTTTTATATATCTGAGATACATTCTCCTCTCCCCCTACTGACTCTGAATGGGTAATCCACTGATGATGTGGGAGGAAGGTAAAATGATCTGAGGGTCTAAGTTTTCTGGGTCAGCGCTCCCCAGAACACTGGTCCAGAGAAAAAGATTTTCAAAGGGGATGTCTATGCTCAGGATGCTGGGACAATGCTCTCAATGTCTTTGAGAGTCACAGGGCGCTCTGATGTGTTGAGAGCTCTGAAGGTTCACGCAATAAAGAAACGTGTTCAACTTTAACTCAGTATTTCCCAAACTTTTCTGATCAAGAAAAACTCTTTTAAGGGGCGCCTGGGTGGCTCAGTCGGGTGAGCGTCCGACTTGGGCTCAGGTGGTGATCTCATGGTTTGTGAGCTCGAGCCCCGCGTCGGGCTCTGTGCTGACAGCTCGGAGCCTGGAGCTGCTTCGGGTTCTGTGTCTCCCTCTCTCTCTGCCCCTCCCCCGCTCACACTCTGTTTTTCTCTCTCTCAAAAGTAAATAAACATTTAAAAATTTTAAGAAAACCTCTTTTTGTATTATGTCTACAGGAGCTGATAATGAATGAAGGAATCAGCGTTTCACGGGACACATTTTGGGAAATGCTCCTTTCAGCCAAAAGGTAGTATTTCCTGTCTTTTGTTTAGCACCTGGGGATATTCGAGAGACAGATATCAGCATGTAATGGAAATATTTCTGGCCTTTCCAGAATTTTAGCAGGCAATAGACCAGGATGAGCGTAGCTACGGAGAGGTTTTCATGGTAAACATATTAGAAAGAAACACACCGAAATTTCATTAGTGGCTATTGGTGGCCGGTAGAAGGAGAGGCGATTTTTTTCTTCTTTTTTTCTTCTCGCCTGTATCTTCCACAGTGAGCATGAATTACTTCTGTATTGGGGGTGAGAAACAAAGTAAACTTTACTTCTTTCTTTCTGGAAGTTCATTCATTTATTTTGAGGGAGGGGGGAAGGGCAGAGAGAGAGGGAGAGACAATCCCAACCAGGATCCACGCTCGGTGCAGAGCCTGACGTGGAGCCTGATCTCACAACCATGAGATCAACCTGAGCTAAGATCAAGAGTCGGACGCTCAACTGACTGAGTCACCCAGGTGCCCCTAAACTTTATCTTTTAAAGAAGAATTAATATCCAAGTTTCTTTTTTTTTTTTTTTTTTAATTTTTTTTTTCAACGTTTATTTATTTTTGGGACAGAGAGAGACAGAGCATGAACGGGGGAGGGGCAGAGAGAGAGGGAGACACAGAATCGGAAACAGGCTCCAGGCTCTGAGCCATCAGCCCAGAGCCCGACGCGGGGCTCGAACTCACGGACCGCGAGATCGTGACCTGGCTGAAGTCGGACGCTTAACCGACTGCGCCACCCAGGCGCCCCGATATCCAAGTTTCTTTATATTCGTTCTTAATGAACACAACTACCTGTCGGCAGAGAAGCCGACAGATACATCTCCTCCTTCCGGTTACTTCTCCCAGTGTCCTTGGGGTCCCATAGCCCTTGTCTGCCAGGCTCTGGGGTCTGTCCTTGGAGTATATACAGCCCCTTCAGATTTGCGAGAAAGTTAAACAGTTCACACTTGGTGGGAGAGTCAACCTGAGAACAGGAACCGGGCCCATCAAGCCCACCATCCTAAGTCGTTACAGGGTCACGTGTCCATGAAGGAAGGGTTGGCATGCCAGTTGAGATTCTTGGCTGTAACCAACGAAGATCTCTTCTGGTTGACCCGAGCAGGAGGCGAATTTACCGGAAGACTACTGTGCAGTTTGCAGAATCAGTGACAGGGCTAGAGAACCAGGTGATGGGAAATGAATGAGATCACGGGAGGCAAGGCACGGCCAAGGTCTTCACACAGGATGGTCTGCTTAGGATCCTGTCACTGGTGGTGTCATTGCCGGACAGCAGTTTGGGGCTCGGTCACCCCAAACACCTATCATCGTGCTGCTGGACAAAAATCCACCACATCATGTCCCCAAAGGAGGCCTCTGATTGGCCAAGCCCAGGATGGTTCCCTAGTTGCTGGGGCAAAGATAGAAACTCTGCCCTCTTTGGCTTCTAAAGTAGGGAGAGGAGACCCACCTCCTCTCTGCTTTGGCCTTCCCCCCCAAATGGGAAGGTTGTTTAAAGGTTGGGTAGCCAGAATGACCAACATGCATGGCATTTAGGTATTCTGTAAAGGGGCTGCTAGGAGCTTGGAGAGACAGGCCAGATTGGGCCAGCCATGTTCAGAAGTGAGCTCACCCCGCTGGCGTTGTGTAATGAATGCGTGGCCTTCTTTCAACCGGATTCCTAAGATGGGCAAGCTTCCACCAAATCTCTCGATCACTGCCCCTCAAGAAGAACCGACCTCTCAGTAAAAGCCACACTGAATAATAAAATAAGAATTACCATTTTCTAGAAGAACCAGAAGGCAAATGCAGAATCCCATCTGATGGCAAGGCTAGTTGTGTGCTCCTCCGTTGGGCCACGTGGATCGTCCATAGGGGGCTGACCAAAAGAAATGAAGGAATAATAAAGCATTGGAAGGATTGCTTTTTTTCTCTGAAGAACGTACAGGTTAGGGAAGCTGATTAAATAGGTTGATATGACCTTGGAGAAGAGCCCTACAGGTGCAGGGAATGCGAAAGGAGTGGACAATGTGAACGTGGGTCTTTCATTGACTTCCTCATTTGGGGATAGCTCTTTCTGCGTGCAAGCTTCCAAACATGGGGATCGAGTCCAGAGACCGAAAGATGAGGTCCAGGGAGAGAGTCAAGGTGGTCATGGCTGCTGTCAGATTCTTGGATGGCAGGCACAGCCCCAAACCCCGGCCATATAGGCAGAAACTGCTTGGCTTGATCACAGCAGAGTTTGGAATCTAAGGAGTGTTAATTGGAAAGCAGTGATTAAAAAATGAGAAAAATCTCTTTGTTCTGGAACTAATACAGATATGTTCATCTCAGAGTAAGGGAGGTATAGTGTGAGAGCCTCAGGAAGTTGACTTTACGTAGAAAGTCTATATTATTATGATTTTCCACAGTGAATTGCTTCTCTTTTGCTTCTAGAGTGTCCGGACCCTTGCACAGTTTCCATTGCTGATGGGACCTTCTGAGCACTGTCAACATACCCACAGAGAAGGGGTTTCCAACTCACGCAATCACACTCTCCAGTCAGATGTGGAACAAGAAAATACTTCCCAGAAATGCAAAGAAGAAAACAAACCAAGTTCATTGCCTTGGGTAACATGAGTTCTTGCCCATTTGAAAGTGGGATCTTAATCTTCCTAGAAGATCTCTTTCTAGATTTCTTCTAGAAAGAGAGGACACGCCATACCTTAGACAGTGTAGTTACGGGCAGGTGCTCTATCACCTGGTACTGAGTCCCACTGCCATCTACAAGATTTAACAATCAGTTGTAAGAACATCTAACGTGAAGAAACGTTTAAGAACTCAAGGGGTCTCTTGGGATTGGAGGTCCATCCATTCCTGGAAAGGTTGAGATAAGTCACGTGATGCCTTTTCTGTAACCCCAACATTTCTCCAAGGAAATCTTTGAAGTAAAAAGTTCACAAAGGAGTAGACTGAGGACTGCAGCGGAGACAGTGGGGGGGGGGGGGGGCATGTTCCATGGTTCCCTTCACTGTAGAGGCTGTTGGGAACAGGGGTTCAGTAAAGCAGACTGCAATTTCCAGTATCTGGTGCATGGATAATGTTCTTTCACCTTTGGATGTGTCCTTAGGTGACTGGACAGTGAGTAGAAGGTCTCAAAGAAGAGTCTGATATAGCATCTGCCCTAGACCAGGAAGGATGGGGCCAGGGCCCAGGAAATCAGTTTAGGCCCAGAGCGAACATCTTTGTCCTCAGTTCTGTTAAAAGATGGTGTCGGGGCGCCTGGGTGGCTCAGTCAATTGGGCATCCGACTTTGGTTCAGGTCATGATCTTGCAGTTTGTGAGTTTTGGCCTCGTGTTGGGCTCTGTGCTGACAGCTCAGAGCCTGGAGCCTGCTTCGGATTCTCTGTCTCCTCCTCTCTCTGCCCCTCCCATGTTCATGCTCTGTCTCTGTCTCTCAATAATAATAAATAAACGTTAAAAAAAAAATCCAGTGAAGAAATGGGCAAAAGACATGAATAGACACTTCTCCAAAGAAGACATCCAGATGGCCAACCGACACATGAAAAAATGCTCCACATCACTCATCATCAGGGAAATACAAATCAAAACCACAATGGGATGCCACCTCACACCTGTCAGAATGGCTAACATGAACAACTCAGGCAACAACAGATGTTGGCGAGGATGCGGAGAAAGAGGATCTCTTTTGCACTGTTGGTGGGAATGCAAGCTGGTGCAGCCACTCTGGAAAACAGTATGGAGATTCCTCAAAAATTAAAAATAGAACTACCCTACAACCCAGCAATTGCACTACTAAGTATTTATCCAAGGGATACAGGGGTGCTATTTCAAAGGGGCACATGCACCCCAATGTTTATAGCAGCACTACTGACAAGAGCCAAAGTCTGGAAAGAGCCCAAATGTCCATCAATGGATGAATGGATAAAGAAGATGTGGTGTATATATATATATATATATACACACACACAATGGAGTATTACTCGGCAATCAAAAAGAATGAAATCTTGCCATTTGCAACTACGTAGATGGAACTGGAGGGTATTATGCTACGCGAAATTAGTCAGAGAAAGACAAATATCATATGACTTCACTCATATGAGGACTTTAAGACACAGAACAGATGAACACAGGGAAGGGAAGCAAAAATCATATAAAAACAGGGAGGGGGACAAAGCATAAGAGACTCTTAAATACGGAGAACAAATAGAGGGTTACGAGAGGGGTTGTGAGAGGCGGAATGGGCTAAATGGGTCAGGGACATTAAGGAATCTATTCCTGAAATCATTGTTGTACTACATGCTAACTAACCTGGATGTAAATTAAAAAAATAAAATTAAAAAAGAAAGATGGTGTCTATAGTCAGGTGACTTGTGTTTCATCCCAGCTCCGCACATTTTACCAGTTGTGGGCCTTTAAGAAGTTCCCTAACCTTTCTGTGGCTTAGTTTTCTCATTTGTTAAAGGAGGGGAGACTACGACCTGCCTCATAGGATTTTCCTGGGTATTAAACACGTTAACTCATGGAAAGTGCTCACCGCAGTGCCGGGCACATAAGTCATTGTAATCAAGCAATTGCGTGATAAGCATTATGCTTCAATGTTACCAGAGCCGTTAGCCTGGGCCAAGACGAGGGTGACATTTTCCATCTCCCAAGCTTTTGTGGGACATCCAGGTAAACTTTCATTTAGAGGAAGCTCAGAAAAAGCCACAGCCGTTCACTTCCGCGCGGCCGACGTTCCCGAAGCGTCTCTGCGGTGGAAATCGTTAACTTACACCCGTAACACTAAGAGAGGGTTAGTGTTAAAATCTTACCAGTAGGAAATGCTTTGTTTCATTAAGGCCTTTTCCTAAGTAGAGCCACGTGGTTGGGTCCTAGTATTAAGGTCCTTGAAAGTCGCGTTCTCAAGAGGGAACATACTGGGCTCCTCCTGATGCTTCTCATCCATATGGTCCCAGGATTTGGGGGAGAACTTGAGAATGTTTACACGTATGTGTTCATCGACTAACGCTTTTAGTGTTTTCAAGTCAGCTGTTTCTCAGAGCGGGGTCTGCCAGAATTGCTTCCCCTTTACAAAGTGTCAGAGTGTTAATGGAATGTGAGGAATGTTGGTGGGGTGGCCAGGACGAGGGCTTTGAAATCAGACAGATTCATGTCTGCTTGCTGTCTCTACAATTTACTTGCTGGGATGTGGCGGACAAGTAGCTTGGCCTCTCTGGGCCTTGATTTTCTCACCTGTAAAACGGTGACAAGAGATACCACACTCCGGTCATGAAGAGTGTCTGGGAATTATTTAGCGTGCAGTGGAGGCTCCGGAAAATTTCTCTCCCATCGTCTTGCCCATTTCTTTCTCCCCTAAAGATGGCATATATTACCTTGTGTGGCAAAATAGGACTTCACTGATGGGATCGAGGTAAGGTTCTCAAGGGGCGCCTGGGTGGCTCAGTCGGTTAAGCGTCCAGCTTCGGTTCAGGTCATAATCTCGAGGTTCGTGAGTTCGAGCCCCACGTTGGGCTCTGTGCTGACGGCTCGGAGCCTGGAGCCGGAGCCTGCTTGGGATTCTGTGTCTCCCTCTCTCTCTGCCCCTCCCCCACTCATGCTCTGTCTCTCTCTCTCTCTCTCTCTCAAAAATAAATGTTAAAAAAAATTAAAATAAAATAAAAAATAAACAGATTCGAATGGTGGTGTGTGTTGGGCGGGGGGTCATCTGGCGTGGTCCTGCTAGGCATGGGGTGGGACACTGCTCTGGGGGTAAACCTGACAGGCATAGACTTTCTAGAAGCCTGACCATAGAAATCCAACATTCGGGCTTTCCAGTTTGGGCAGCCCCCCAGTAGAAATGGGCACGTTTTCTCTGCTTTCCAGGTCACCCCTCGCCACAGCATCCTGACCCTTTCTGGAAGTGGAGTCACGTGACTGATGAAGAACCAGAAGGAGTACTTGTGAGTATTACTCGGCAACCAAAAAGAATGAAATCTTGCCATTTGCAACTTGGTGGATGGAACCAGAGGGCATTATGCTAAGCGAAATAGGTCAGTCAGAGAAAGACAAAAATCCTATGACTTCACTCATATGAGGACTTTAAGACACAGAAAAGATGAACACAAGGGAAGGGAAGCAAAAATAACATAAAAACAGATAGGGGAGCAAAACATAAGAGACTCTTAAATATGGAGAATAAACAGGGTTACCGGAGGGGTTATAGGAGGGGCGATGGGCGAACTGGGTCGGGGGCACTAAGGAATCTACTCCTGGAATCACTGTTGCACGATATGCTAAGTAACTTGGACATAAATGAAAACAATAAATTAATTAAATAAATAAATAAATAAGAGGATGTCTTACCTTCCCAACTCTGGCTCTTCAGAAAATGTATTGTCACATCCTCCTGTCCTTAGAACATCAAACGTGAGAGCCAAATTCTGTTCCATAGTGTCTTAGGCGACAGCCACGCATACGGAACAGAGACAAGGGTGTCGTGCTGACTCGATATAATCACGCCCTTGCACGTAGACCTTATCTTTCTCTGCAGGCATTCCAAGAGCACAATAGACGTTAGCTGGTTGCTTTCCCAACACTTTTGCCAGGTAGGTAGGGAGCAGGTACCATTATTGTCTTCATCTTGTATATACACAGATAGCTTTCCCGAGAATTACTTGCCCAAAGTCCCATTGGCGATAAGAACAATGGAAAAGAAAGTGACCAGAGTCCGAATTTAAAAAACAGAACTTCCTGTGGAGGCAGGTTCAGGCCCCGGTCCTGGGATCATTCTAATTTCAGGCATTTCGTGGAGCAAGGGCGCATAAAAACGTTACTTCTCTTTATTTGTGGGTGGACGGGAGGGAATGGGGTAGCAGATGATTTAAGTAAGTCTGTTCAGCTGTTGGTACTCTTTAAATGTTCAGCATCTGCGGGGAGCTTCAGGATATGTTTCTTTCCGTGACGGCAGGAGCATCACCAAATGTAGCTCAATATGGCGGAACCAGCCACGAAATCTGGAATATGAATGTAATTCCATAGCAGTTTTTGGCTAATAGGGGCTCTTGCACTGTGACGATGAAAACATTTAGCACGGCAAAGGTCTGGGCTGGAGCGGATCTCACTTCTTTTGTCCGCAACATGGGCACCATATTTATTTATTTATTTATTTGGGCACAATAGTTATGTTAAATAAATAAATAAAAGGAGATCGGGGCGCCCGGGTGGCTCAGTCGGTTGAGCATCCGACCTCGGCTCAGGTCACGATCTCGCGGCTCGTGAGTTCAAGCCCCGCGTCGGGCTCTGTGCTGACAGCTCGGAGCCTGGAGCCTGCCTCCGATTCTGTCTCCCTGTCTCTCTGCCCCTAACCCACTCGCATTCTGTCTCTGTCTCTCTCAACAATAGACATTTAAAAATAAATAAATAAATAAATAAATAAATAAAAGGAGATCATATATGTAAAGTGCTACATAAATAGCAAAATTCTATGCAAAACAAGGTATTATGAAGGTTGGACCAGTACAATTATAGGCCCTGATACAGGGTTATATTTTCTTCCAATGCGGGTCTATTTCCAATGGGTCATCAGGGCAAAGAGCATGCCTTTAAATCTGCAAATTATTCTGTCCCTGGAAAATCAGGAGAAAAGAAAATAAAGAGGGGAAAGGAAGCTTGGGGCTATCGGTATCTCAAAAATTGTTAAATGCGTCAGGTATGGACTCTAGCCTGTACGGTGGAATTCAGGTGTCTACCCCCTGTGGGGGGGCAGGAAGCTTGGAAAAGAAAGCTTTCCTGCACTTTCTGGGATGTGGACCCTTTGTTCAGGATCTAAGAGGTAAGGGATTCCATCGGAAGCATTTGTTTAATTAATTGTAGCCAGAACTCAGCTGTGGGTAGGCCAGGTTTCATGGTGCAATGTTATTACTTCTCCAGCCACACGTGCATACTTTAACTCAAGTGCGAACCCACGAGATTTGAACTCCTAACCTTTAAAATGCAAGGCTGCTGCCTTGGCCACGAGGCATCTCAGTTCTTGTTTACCAGGACCGGGAGTTCTCAGCAGACAGAGCCCCACTTATTCCGTGACCCCGGTGGAATAACACCGAGAGACCCAAAGGAATAGCCACTTTAAAATAGTGTCTTTGGCACCGAAGGGATTCT